CCCCAGGTGCAGGACCCTGCATTTGCCTTTGTTGAACCTCATCAGGTTCCTCTCTGGCCAGCTTTCCAGCCTGTCCAGGTCTCGCTGAATGGCAGCACAGCCTGCCGGTGTATCCACCACTCCTCCCAGTTTGGTGTCATCAGCAAACTTGCTGAGGGTACACTCTGACCCTTCATCCAGGACATTGATGAAGAAGTTAAACAAGACTGGGCCCAGTACTGACCCCTGGGGGACACCACTAGTTACCGGCCTCTGAGTTCTGCTATTCAGCCAGTTCTCAATCCTCCGCACTGACCACTCATCCAGCCCACACTTCCTGAGCTTCCCTAGGAGGATGTTATGGGAAACCGCGTCAAAAGCCTTGCTGAAGTCAAGGTAGACAACATCCACGGCTCTCCCTTCATCTACCCAGCCAGTCATGCCATCGTAGAAAGCTATCAGATTGGTCAGGCATGATTTCCCCTTGATGAATCCATGCTGACTACTCCTAATAACCTTCTCTTCCTCCACTTTTTCATATTTCACTTTTTCAATTTTCTTTTCCCCATCTTTTTCATATTTTCTACTAAGGACCAAGACTAGATGGCATTCTTCAATCAAGTACAAGTTTTCGTTATGAGAGCACGGAGGGAGAAAGCAAATAATTATTAGATGCAGATAAAGTGGACAAAGTATTTGGAGCTAAAAGATTATGGATCATAATGAAATTAAGAATTAGTTTTGTTGTCCTCCTCCTTTGCATTCTGCCCTTTTATTTTTTAAACGTTAGAAAATGAGTAAGTCATACTTTTTCCACATCTTTCCTATTACTGCTCTCATATATTCCATCTTTGAAACAAACGGAAATGCAAAACATCTGCTACTAACAACACCTTCTGCTTTGGGGTAAATAAGTATTTGAATTAAATAACTAAAACATGTCTTGTGCATAAATAGTCTTCCGGAAAGTACACACTCTGTCAGGAAAAAGCAGACAATTAAGTTTTCATATTGTTCTAGCTGTGCAGGGTCATAGTTTCCACCATAAAGCAAAATAAATGAGCTATCCCACAATCACTCATCAATTTTAAATTAACAAAAAGCAACCTGGGAGAGAAGCAGGGAGCAGACAGGGATGTACAACTAAAACACGCACCTGCGTTCTTCAGAGATCCCACTATCTCAGTGCAACAGGTTCTCAGAGACTTCACCTCACGCTGGTTTAAGTGAGGGCCCTCCTGAAACAAGACAGAGATATCAGCGGAGGATGACGACTTCTCCGAAACATTTATCCTCTTTCAGGGACCATACCTGCTCAGCTAGGTTAGTTCTCAAAAAGAAAACCACCAAGAAACCTCAGAGCATTGCGGCCCTTGCATGGAGGCAGCCTGGCATTGCGAGTGGTTCACACAAGCACTTGTCACCCCTTTCTGATCCTATCAATCATCATCATCTCACCATTAAACAATGATGCATCCAGAACAGGTCTGTATTTAGCAGCAATGAAGTCTTGCAACGCAAGCAGCTAAAACATAAGTGGTTTAAAATGCAAATTGTTGCCAATTTGGATCAGAAGAGTAATCCAGTCTCCCAGGTCTATCTCACATCCCCACACCATTACTGTATACCTCTAGTAAGATGCATGCATTTCCTGATCTTTGTTAGAACGTGCCTCCTACCCCTCCTTCCCTTGGCTCAAAAACACAAACCCGGGAACAGACGACCTACATCTATTTGCAAAAAAACCCCAAGCCACATCAAACCAAGACCCCACAACCAAACCACCTGCCTTTCGAAACATGTGAAAATTCATCTTGGAAAACTGAATGACTGTGGAAAATTTAATTAACTGTATTTTAACCAACTTTCAAATAAATCAAACAGACATCAAAATTGACAATTAAAACCACAAAGTATTATGCAACATCCAGCAATTAGCGTGAAACACACACCTATGTGCCTTATCCAGATCTTTCCTGGGTGGTATGTATTCAATCACAATACTTTTTTATCCTCTATGTTCTTTTGGGATGTGTGAAAACTACTTACAAACTAAAGAAAACTGATCACATTCTTTGGCACTTTTTCAGCAGCCTTTGCCTAGAAATAACATTTTTACCACTCGTGTTTGCTAGAAGGGAGGGGAAAAAAAAAAAAAGCCAGGACCATGCGAGTCTCTTGTTTTGAAAGAGAGAACTAACAGTGATTTCCTCTCTAATTACAAAAAATAATTCTAAAAATGAAGAATAATCTTTATTTTTAGATTAAAAAATGAAATACTAAACTGGAGCCCCCTGTAGCATTATAATACTATTACCAGACTGAGATAATTATTATGCAGTGGTTAGTACCTTGGCTGGGGATGATGGTACCGGCAGAATACGCTGTACCCACATTACACGGATACGGGGGAGGAGCTTTTTAAACTCTGTCTCTTCTCCATTTTCATCAGTTTTGTTCTTCATTCTGTTACACACCTGCCTCACACCACTCCAACAGGATTTAAGAAAGTGAAAAGCTTGGTATTTCAAAATACTGTTGGTCTACTGAAGTATAGTCTAATTTTTCACTGGACCCATGATAATCCAAATAATGACAAGCATGCCAGAAGACACAAGTAGGAAACAGGAAACCACAGAGACAAAGTCCTCTGCCTAGTCACTCTAACCCTAAATTCAAAATATCACGCAGAGATGAAGTTTTGCATTTGCTTACTTGTTCCAACCAACTTTCCCCAGGAGTTGAAGCACAGCATTCAGTGTGATACCCCTCAGCACCTCGCGCCTTTGCATCTTCTTTCTGGTATCCATCAGCAGAACAGCCTGGTTTCCTAAAGTTTCTTTTTTTGTCTTTTTCATCCTCTTCCAGGTCTCCAGCCTTTTGGAATTCTTCCGTAAGGGATTCTGTTGGCCCATCAGAAGTCACCTTGAGCATATCACCCGAATCCTCTGTCTTCTGGCAAAGGTTCTCTGCTCCCGAAGTCCTGTGGTGCTCAGATGACGGACTGTGATCAGGTGCTAACATGGGCGTCGACACGTCAGACTTTGCACCTAACCCACCATTAGGCTCCGGCACAGCCATAAGCTCAGTGGAGATGCTCTCCAGTGGCCCGGCGTACAACTCCTCTGTTACAGCCGACACGGGAGGATCCAGGAGAGACTCCACCCCGGATGATAGCATCAGGGCAGCTGGAGACCCGTTGTCCTGAGCTTTTCACAACTTACCCTAAAAATAAAAGCAATGTTAAATCAACAGACATAGCAGGAATCTCCAGATTAAAAGGGAAAGCTTCATTCTTCAAGACTTAAGCACATAATTTTAAGAATGATACTTCCAAATAATTTTGTAAGAAAGGAGCTGAGAAACGTTTGAGTATCTAAGCAAACAGTTCATTAACAAAAGAAGAGAGTACGGACATATAGATACTGCAAAGCCTCATTTTTGCATTGAAACGTCACCCTCATCTTCTGGAAAACCTGAGAAGAGACTACACAGCACACTGCTGGGGCCTGCATTAGACTCCCTGCTCCTCCGCTAAAACTAAAGCACCGCTTGTCTCCCTGTCGTTTTTTAATCTTCACGAACGAACCCCCCAGCTGCTCCGGGTACGCGTTCTGCCCCGCCAGAACGCGCTCTCAGCCATCACCCACCATCGGAGCGCCTCA